GCTCTCTTCTGAAGCTCATTATCATTTGAAAAATGCCACCTCTACACAGAATCACTCACGGGCTTTGCAGCTTTCTTTGTGCTGTTGGTGTCTCCCGGGACAAGGATGGTAGTTCCTACTTCCAGTGTAGCTACTGGGTAGGCAGAGTGAGCATGGCTGTGAATGAGTGAGAATGGCATTGCCGGGGGTGCTGGGTACAGAAGGTGCACAGAATTTTACTGTGTCGATGAAAAAGGAGGAGGGGCTTGGCAAGGCAGGCCCAGAATTTAGACCCTGACATGTCTTCCTGAAGATACTCACTAGCTCATTGCCTCATCCTAGTTTTCTCAGCGGAATGTTAATATACACGACTGCCTCCTCTTCCAAGCTGCAGTTCTCGGAATTTGCTTGTTAGCTATGGCAGGAGCGATGGAGAGGCACTTCTGCCCCGTGGTTGTTTTGTGTGGTGTGTTACAAGGCTGTGTGACATTATGTGACTTTCTCTGTGGATCTGCTCTCAGCAGAGAGTGCTGTGGAGTAAGTAATCTTGTGGTATTGTGGATCCAAAGCAGGACAGCATTTGACTACTTAGAATCAAATATTAGCAAAAATATTCAGAGGCCTTCCTTGTAATTTTGCAAGGAACCACATTCCTGAATCGGGACTCAAGAATTTAAAAAAAAAAAAAAAAAAAAAAAAAAAAAAAAAAAAAAAAAAAAAAGTAGGTGTGCAATACATCACATTTACTAATGCATTAGAGTTTATATGAATAATTAAAACACCATTTAGAATTACCACAGTAATAGAACAGAATGTGTTTTGTCAGTTTTCTGTTTCTTTTTCTTGATTGATCAATTTATTGATTTCTTCCATAAATTTAAAGTAGGTATCCTAAACATTACAGTAAATTAGCAACACTGTGCTTTTTAATAACCTGTTGAAAGCATTAATGGAATGAAAAGAAGTCAAAATTTGGTAATAAAGATCTGAAAACCAGAGACCTAGAACACATATCTAGTGTTTTGCATCAATTAGGTTTGTAAAATATTAGAGGCTTTGTTTGTCCTACCCGTTATTTTAAAAAAAGAAGTATTTTATATTCCTTATGAATAGCCTAATATCACATCAGAAAAAAGGGGAAAAATTAGGCAACAAGTTACCTTTGTATTTGACTTTCCATTGTATTTATAGTTAACTTTAGGCTGGTTGGAGTCAGTGAGAACATGTGTGGGATGGAGGACAGAACTTCACTGTTAAAGAGACCACAGTCCTTCTGAAACCATCTGTGAAAAAGTAGTAAACTTCTGAAACTGAGATCTGGAAAAGAGACAGGTGTTATCCAAGATACCAAGAATTAGAAATTATATTAAATTTCACACACATATGCACACAAAATATTTGTGTATTTCTTACTCAGTTTTCTTCTGGGTTATATCTTTGATTTTTCCTTACTATTTACATTTAGTTTGTTAACCAGTTTTGTCGTATTTTTTTCTACCTTCAAAAAAACCAGCTTTATGAATATACTAGAATGTACACTTAACAAGAACCCTTAACAATTTTTAAGTCAGTATTGTTCTGATCCCTTTTCAGGGCTGTGTTTCTCTGTTTTCCAGCTACAATAGACAATTTGTTGTAACACTTGGATTAGCATCATATGTTTTGTTTAGTACTGTTGTTCTAGCCATGCTTGGAATACGTGTTTTCATAAGCATTTTTGGGGGCAGTTTTGGATGCCATCAGAGGCTTGTGCCTCCCCATCCACTGGCGATGTCCAGACTTCACTGAGAAGAAAGAGGTGATCTGGCAATAGTCACAGTCTGTTAGTCTGGGCTGTAGCTCTGGTGTTTGAGGGAATGGTTACCATTCCAGGCTTAATTTGAGGTGCCTTACTCTGTTGTCCTAATACAAAGCAAGTGATAGAAACTGTATGCTGCACAAGGGGATATAGAATATCTCAATATTAATGAAATATTGAGATAAGAAATCATGCATGAAATCATTCCACTTACTGTTATTGGTTGTCACACTGACATGACTATAAATGAAGGATATTAGAGGGAGAAAAAATCATATTGTTTCAGTTAGTTTATTTTGTGCCTACTTGACAGCCCTCTGTGTATAGTCAGTTGCACGATTTCTTGGGATAGCCAGATTTTTCTTTATTTGTGTGTGGCTCTTTCAGCTATAGGGGAAAGAGAATACTTAAAGGATCAAAAAATGTGTCTGTAAAGCCAGAAACAATTGTCTGCAACCTCAAGAAGATATCTAAGAGCATGTAACTGCTTTTTACTCATCTTCCAAAAGCAGCTCAGTTCCGGAATAACAGCGCACTTTTGGGCTATATTTCAAGCTGGTATGATTATTCTCAGACAGGAATTATAAGGATCGATAGCAAACCCAACACATCCTTTCTTTTCATGACAGATTCGCTGATTGCCACCAGAGCAGTAATAATGCACTGGTCAGCATAAACACCAGAAGCAGTAATCATGGATTTTTGTCTCCATCTTAACATGTGTTTAAGGTTACACAATGTGTTGTGATGGGTTTGCACCCAAAGGTCATGAGGAAGGAGAATTCTTTGACCTGTTCATCTTCCCTTCTCTTTCGCTTTTATGCTTCTCCCTTGAGTTGGGGCTGGGCTGTTTGGTGTCTCTCCGGGCACAGAGCAGGGCAGAGAGAGCATGCCTAGCCAAAAAGATAAGAGAAAGGTCATTTTGAGATACCAGTGGTTTACATGGTGTGGGTTTTCTTTGCGTGTCCTATTTAGGAAGTAGTAATGACCAAGATTTTCCGTGGGTGTGTGTCAGGAGCCCTTCTGCATTGGGGTTTTGGTGGAGCTGAGTGCAGGGTTGCTTTCCCTCAGTGGAGGGCCCTGTGCTTTTGCTGTGTTTTGGCAGCTTGACATGGCAGTGGCTAGGTAACCTGTGTGTATGAATTTCAGTTTTTATTTTTTTTGGTTTTGTATGTGCCATCCTCAATTTACTGAAGCTCTGTGACTTTTTAACCTGCTGTCTGTGGGCTGTTGTTTTACAAGCTCATTAAGGTGGTGAGCATAGCGATGGCAGCGATCCTGCCCCCCTCATGGGTGCTCATTAGATGGCTTCCTTGTGCTGACATAAGCGTTGTGTAGTCATGCTCTGAGCTGGGTCTGGGAAAGGATCCAAGTTAAAAATAATCCCTGGAAAAAAAAAAAAAAAGAAAAAGAAAAAAAAAAGAAAAAGGTAAGTTTTCAGCAGGATCTGTTCCTGGATCTAGCTCGCCATCATTCTCACCCTGGCCTGGAAAGTGAGAGGGTTTGTACTGGCACAGAGGGAGGTGAGGAGGAGCAGCTGGGGCAAGGTGGTCAGGGGTGTACTGCTGGCAGCAGGGATGCTGCCTGCTTGAATGATGTCACCCTGCGGAAATGGGGCTCTTGTGAGTGTGCTGCCTGTCTTTCCTTAAGTGCATTGGCCCAGTAACTTCCAAAGTTGTGAGGCAGTTTTGGCCAAATTTGCCTGAAAAGCAGTGTTAAAGGGGTGAAGGTCCCCTGAGCTCAGCAATTTATGGTGGCTGAGCCAAATCAACTCTCCCCAGTTGATGAAAAGTTTGTCATCTGGGATTCAGCTGCTGACTTTGTCAGGCCTTCTCTTGTGGCACAGTCCCACTGTCCCATTTCAGGTTGAATTGTGCCCGTTTTGCCGTGGGGCCAACTTGAATAGCTGATGGGAGAAGAGCACAAAGTGCTGTCTGCGAGTGGCTGTTCATTTCAAGGGGCAGGAACGGTTCATCTGCTGGATCCTGACTGCACAGGGAGATGCATTTCCAGTTGTGGGGTGGTTTTTAATTTTGATTTCTTTGTTAGTTTTTTTTTTTGGGTTTTTGGGTTTTTTTTGTTTGTTTGTTTGTTTGTTTGTTTTTTAAATTCTGCCTAGGTATCAAAATTTCTGGAAGCTGGGATAGTTGGGAGGCAAGAGTCCCTTCAGTTTTCTTGGTGTGGCCGACTGTTTAACCCTGAGGACAAACAAGTCTTTCTAGCTGCACCTCTACATAGCTTCCCTTGACTATCTGGCAGCATCTTTGTGCCCTGCTCAGTCCAGGTTCTGTCCCCATAAGGCTGTGCTCCTCTTCGGTGGGTGTGCCTGGATTTCACCTGCCCAGCCTGCCTTGCTGCAGGGGCAGCCTTGCTCTGCACCACTGCTGAGGAGCTAAGATGAAGACACACATTGTGGTTTCCTGCTGTTTTGCTTTGTAACCAGTCCACTGGTAAATATAGCTCATGTGTGGTTATAAATTCATTCTCTCATTATGGGTGGTTGTTGTGCAATAATTATGTAGAAATTACAACCGAGAATTGTTGTGGATTTTTTTTTTTGTTTAGTTTAGTTTATTTATTTATTTTTGCCCTTCATATGCCCTGCAGTGAGAAGAGCAGCGTTTGGTTTCTGCCCTAACAAAGACAAGGCCACAAGCAGGTGTCAGCCTTTGGCATGGACACAGGCACCATCTAACAGACTTTTGTGTGGCTCTCTTTGTGTGGCAAGACGAGCACTGCAAGGGAAATTGGGACCTGCGCTATTTGGACTCTTTTTTTTATTTTTCCTTTCTTTACTCTGTGGGTAGACAGTCAGGTTTGGTACTGTACACGTGTTTATTCTGAAATGAACCCATCCTTTCTCTTTGGAGGTGTTGGTTGCACATTTCCCGAAGCCCTTGTATCTCTGGCAGCTTCCAGCCCTGCTCTCTGGGCAGTCCTCTGGCTCCTGCTGCCGGGCTGGGGGTCTTTGCCCCCTGCAGAAGTACTCAGGTTCTGCACCCCTGAGGTCTTCCCTTCATATGTGGGCCCCCTCCCGTGACCCCTCCTTCTGTTCAGATGTGGAATTAAAAGAAGTGTGGGGGTTTTGTTGATTTTTCCCCTCCTGTTTCTTTATTTAAAATTCCAGTCAAGCAGATCCAGAACAGTGCTTGTCCCTGCTGCGTTCTCATTTTCCTCTCATCCCTCCTTTAATTTTACATTATTCCCTGCACTGTGTTTGCAGGCCATATGTGTCCTTTGAACTCTGAAGAAGCTGTGCCAAAAGGAAGCCTTCTTCTCCTCCCCTCCTCCCATCGTGGAGCCGCTCTTAGATAATTGCAATTAGTAGACAATGCGGAGCGAACCCAAATGTGAAGTCCACGGGTGAGTGTCTGCAAATTTCCTGAGAGCTTCAGAAACGCTTGCGCTTGGTCTCTGCTTTGGCCCTTTAAGCCTGCAGCAGTTCCCCGAGTCCCAAACAGCTCTGGGAGGTGTTTGTAACCCGCGTTTTCCTGCCGGCGTTCCTGGCGGGGCACAGCCGCTGCTGAAGCCTTGGCAGGGCGCCGTGCCTCAGGCAGGGACTCTGCGCGGAGGGAGGCGGAGCCGCCCGTCCTGTGTCGCGGCACGGGAACAAGTGGCTTCAGCAGCGGGCTGTAGGAGGACCAGCCCTTCGGCCGTGCTCCCGGGGAGAGGTGGGCAGCTTGCCTGCCGCAAGCTGATAGGAGTGGGAAAAGTAAAACTCTCCCCGTTAAACAAGAAGAAGTGGGAGAATTCCTTCTTGCGGTTCTTGAGGCGCGGGGCAGAGAGACGTGCTGGCGGGCCAGCTGCTGCTCAGGGCCTTGGTTAGCATCAGCCGCTGGCTCCGCCGGGGCGATCGCTGACAGGCCGGGCTTTAGCGTTCAAAGGGGATGTCCTCCTGCAGAAGGGTGACGAGTGCCTTTTGAGTGCCTTCCCCCTTTAGCCTCTGAGAAGTGTCTTCTGCGTTAAACCAGGTTTCTGACCTCATTTCTCAAAGGAGTTTTAAATGAGGAGAAATAGGAGTATTAATTAGTGCCCCGTTAAGTACTTGTAGTCAAGTATGATAATTTTCTTGAAAGGATAATGTATTAGATGAATAAAAATACTCTCCATTAAAAAATGGATACAAAGTAATTTTAAACCACAAAGATTATTGTACATTTCTGAAAAATTAATGTGATTAAAGCAAAATATATTTAATAAATTAAAAAGACCCTGTAAGGCCATTTAACTTGTTGGTTTCATATTATTTTCAAATCTAGTGCTAGAAAACTTTGACCTTACCTGCAGGGATGGGAAGTGATTTCTTCCCTCACTTCATTTTTTGTCTTGTCTAAGCTGTGGGTGTGGTAATTTTCCCTTGTTTTGTGGGGTTCTTTGTTTGTTTGTTTGGGGTTTTGTATTTTTGTTTGTTTCTTTGTTTTACTGTTGTGTTTTAGTGTTGTGTGGGTTTTTTTGCTTTTCTGGTGTCTTTCTCAGAGATTGGCCACAGTGAAAAATCAGACCCTAGACAGTGATCAGAAATTATATGGAGATTTCCTTGATGGATTTAGTTAATGTAACATACTCATGTGCTGCTGTCTGGTTTTGGAGCTGAGAAAACTCCAAAGAGCTGAATATTTTCAAGGATATTTCCTCCTGTTTGGTTTGTCTGTGATGTGATTGTGTCTGCTGGGATCACATAAACTTCCTTCAGTCAACTTCATTCACAAAAGTTATATTAATTTTTTCCACACATAGTTTGCCCCATGGATTATTTTTGGTTTAGGAACTTCCTTCGCTCTCTACTGAGCTCTCTACACATTCAGCTATTTAATGAGAATTGATCTATGTTGTGGAAGACAATAAAGTAAATGGTTGGAGCTGGACATATAACCTAGATCTATGGGTTTGCCTGGTCATTTATGAAGTTTATGTATTGACTTAAGGAGGACATGAAAAGCTCAGTGTAAAACTGGGTTTAAATAGTAGCCTGTTTAAAAAACTTTGGGTTTTTTGGCACTAGGAATGAAAACACCTCCTCACCAGTCTCATCAAAGATGTTGCAAGTATTTTATCCCTTCTTGCTTGGCATGTTCTCCTGTTGGGGGTATCTGCCGGGCAGGTATTTGATACATGATTCTCCCCAAACTGTTGTTCCCTGTAACAGGTCTGTGGTACAGACTCAGAGAATGCTAGCAGTCAAGGTTTCCTAGTTTACAATTTGTTATAGTTTAGGTACCTGAAATCCATGTGAGCTTTTGAAAATATTTTTCCAACCGACCAAAAAATAGAAGAGAATTTGGGTGCCATACAATGTTCTTTCAGATGCCTTCTGAACTTTCAGGTTATTTGATGATGGTGACTGCCAATTATTTTGTTTTGTTTTGTTTTTTTTTTTTAATTTAAGGCACATCTTTAAGTAGTCTCTGTCTTTAAGAAGACAGCCTTTGCATATGATTCTCCACCCTTGTATTTTGCTTTCAGCTTTTCTCTTCTTGTCTTGTTGCAGCTTCGACAAGCTTGTGCAGCTGAGGTGATGATAACTTCCTCAATTGCTTATAGAAAGAAAAAAGGTACTTCTCTCAGCAGAGCCCTTACAGGGTACACATGTGAAAAAGAGAAAGAGATTTCACTTGTCTTTAGGACGCTAGCAGAGCCTGCAGTGATTGGATAGCAGACTATTGAAAGCCTTGAGACATTTGTTTGAGAAGGTGGTGGTGGCTGGATCTCCTTGGTGGTGTATGAAAATAGCTCTGGACTTCAAGGAGCGTGTTGGCTGTGTTAAATGGTGCTCACATAAATGCATGGGAGTTGTTGCTCTGTTGTTACTGTACCGAGTGCCTCCCAAGATGAATGGTCTGCGTTGCCATAATGTTTAAAAGTATGATTATTGGTCTTTTCTGGTCTTAAATGAAACCAAATCTATCCCCTGAAAATTACCTTGAAAATCCTCTTAGTACAAATGATATCAATTTCAAAGCCACCTCCTCAGGTTACAGCTAAACTGAGCACCCGCCTGGCTGCGGTTGTGGCAGGGCCACGCTGCTGTAATGACACCCGCAGGTGTGGCCATGGGGATGTCCCTGTGCACAGTCCACGTTGTGTGCCTCCCACTGTGCTGCTTGCCTCCCCTTGTTGTTTGTGTGTATTTTCCTCACCACTCACAGAGGACACAGTCAAACTTTTTAATATTATGACACTGCAGCTATAAATCTGTCAAAATTGCAGGGGCATAACAAAGAGTAGATCTGACCAATGGCACTGTTCTCTTTTTCTTTGTATTTCCCTGGAATTCTAGCTGACAGTGGCCCTTAATATAAATTCGTTATTTGCAAGGAGCTCTGTTTAAGCTAGAGAATTATTATGCCAATGTGTGACATTAACCATACTGCAGAATAAAGAGCAGTGAAGTATTTATGATGCTAAAATAATTTCAGGTCATGTCTTTTTTTTTTTTTTTTTTCCCTTTGTGTAATTTTGCTTTTATTACTAGTGCTGAAATGGTTCTTGCAGAGCAAGTGAAAAAAACAGACTGAACCTCCTGTTTTTTTGTTGGGCTCCCAGCTGGAAATCCCTCCCTCGATTTTCCATTGATAAAAGTGTCACAAAGGGAATCCAGAGCAGAGGAATAGGCGGAAATAGAACAATGAAAAGTCTTGGACTTGAATCACAAAGAAAGTTAACTAATGTAGATATGGTACTGGACGAGCTGCTGCTCCTTTCATGACCAGGTTCATTTACCTGTGGTTTTAGCATTTGTGGCTGCCCTCAAAGCCATGTAACAAATCAGCTATTTATTCTCTCTTTGCTGTGGTGGCTCTTTAAAAGGATATTGCAGAGTATTTTCTTCTCCTCCTTCCTATGGACTGCTTTATTTGACCTTCAAGAATTCAGAATCTCAACAGGGGCTAGAAAACTCGCGTACAAGAATGCTTTTATTGTTAATCTTTAAAATATGTCTTTCACTAATAAAATAAAGATGTGACATTTATAGAGCTCTGATAAGGAACATGGCAGTGGAAAAGGCCCAGGTCTCCTGCTGTTCAAATTAAGGGCAGCTGATTTCAGCGAGAGAAGAACCAGGCTTGTTAAATGTGCATTTTAACACGTGCACTCAGGTGTTCCCATAATGCTCAAAATACTGCCAGGAGTATTTTTTGAGAATTGAGAAGTAACGCCATAGAGAACTTTGTTCATTTGAGTGACTGAAGGTAATTGGTGCTCCTTCAGAGTTTTAAGAGGGAAGATTATTTGAGTTTAATTTCATTAATTTGGTGGTTAAGTTTATATTTTTCCTAGACTTTCTTAGCATTGTATCACTAAAACAATGTCTTCTGTATTTCTGCTGTGTTTGACCTTTTTGACAGGGTCAAAGAGCTGACATCATGACATTTGCCACAGTGTCTCTGGGGTCACCTCCCTGTCACGTGCTGTAGGCGAGGGTCTGCATGCAATGGTGTGACCAAGGGGCTTGGCAGCCCCTGTGGAAGACAACTGGTGCATGCCTTGTGCTGGGGGCAGCAGCGAGTGCGATGGTCTGTGGCACAGAAGCTCAGTCCTGAGTGAGGCAGGAACTGCTTTGCTGCAGTGGGAGCAGCTGGTGCTCAGCACCCCATGCCAGTGCTCAGCACGCAGCTTGTTGCAAACCTGGATCTCTGGAGTTTTGCTGAGAAGCACTGTGGTTGTCCTCTGGCATACCTTCCCATGTGAAAGGCTAAGCCCTGCTTTTGTCTTTCCCTCCTGTTCTTCTCCATTCTTTTTCCCCCTCTTCCCTTTTTTCCGTCTTTCTTAAACCTGCCAAAATGAGAGACCCACACACTGAAGTCTGTTTCCCCATTCTGATGGTTTATTGTGATGGGGTAATGAGAATGTGCACAGTTATTGAAGTATGGGATGTTAATACAGCAGGAATGGGTTATGTAATGAGCAAATAAATGGGATATGCTTGGCTTATCCATATATTATTCAAGGGTAAAAAGGAAAATACGCAGAATAGTGAGTGAATGAGAAGGAAGACTGGAAATAGTGTTTGGATTTATTGGACATTTCAAAGCTCTTCCTCTGACCCTGTAAATCAAAGCGATTATATTTTGTGCTGGGTTTGGTTTTTTAAATTTAATTATTGGGCCACCCTTCCTTAAAGCCAAAAAAGGAAATGCAGCAGGCAAAAACACTTTAAGTTGAAAACCATGTAAGAATAAATCATGGTGTGATACCTTAATAATGCTATTAAAAACTTGCTTTCCAGTGAAGCATACTGAAACCTAGGAGCTGTAACTGCTTTAAGTGATACACTTTGTCTAGTGTTTTGACAATGCAGGAGTTTTTTCATCTTATCGGTGTAAGAGTCAGTAAAGTTGGGTTTCTTACTGCCTCCACTCTGC